TTGGTTGGCAACACAGTCACTTACACCACTCTAATCCAAGGGTTTTTCCAAGCTGGAGATTGTGATAACGCCCAACAAGTTTTCAAACAAATGGTGTCTGGTGGTGTGCCTCGTGATATTCGGACATTCAACATTTTGTTGGATGGATTTCGTAAAAACGGGATGCTCGAGAAAGCGTTGGTCATATTCCAGCGTCTGCAAAAGAGTCAAATGGAACCTGATATCTTCACCTATAATATCATCATTGAAGGGTTGTGCAAAGCTTGTAAGGTGGAAGATGCGTGGAAGTTGTTTTGTAGCCTCGACCTCAAAGGAGTGATGCCTGATGTTGTAACATACAGCATTTTGTTGGATGGATTCTGTAGGAAAGGTTTAAAGGAGGAAGCAAGTGCCCTAACTCATCAACGAAATGAGGAGCTGCGGTTTTGCTGCAGATGATTCAACCTTTGGCTTAGTCACTCATATGTTACATGATGGGAGATTAGACAAAAGCATCCTTGATATGCTCTCTTAGAACATTGCCTACTATTCTAGATGGCAACTTCTCTCGTTTGTTGTTATGTCTTATCTTCATCGAATCTTTCTGATTCTGTTTGTTATTTCCCTGCTAGGTTTCTGATGATGCAAACACTTGTTGTCTTGTTAAGTCAAGAATAGTGTAAGCTAAAATAATTGAGTGTAGTTTATATAGCCCCTGACCTTTTGTTATCCACAGAAGCATAGTTTATATAGCGACCTCCAACAAGAAAACAGTTGAGCAACTAAAAGCGTTTATTAGTTAATTGTTAATATGTTAGGAAACACACCCATTACGCTTCAAGCAAGTGGTGTTAAATTGCTAATCCCAAGCCTTGCGTGTACGTTTTTTCTGATCTTGTTCTCTCTGTGAATATAGATATCTGGAACATTGGATCATCTTGATGGTGAAGATATTTTGCAAGATGATATGTTCATCGAGAAAGGGAGCTTCGGTTAAAAAGTCTCGACATGAATCTGAAAATAGAGATCCCAAAGTGGATAGGGTTGTGCTTACTTGTTATAACAGATGCAGCAAAAAAACTCTTCGGATCTATTGTCTTAGTGTTGAGTTTCTGTTTGTCTGCTTAGGGAGTTTGGTGCTGTCTTTGTATTGATTTAAGAGAATTGCTCTGTTGACGATTTGAGATGGTGTCGAACTGTGTCAAGCAAGCTTATGGCTCTTGAATCTGATTTGTGCGAAGGTCACAATATCTCTTTACCTAATTTACTTGTTTTGTTCATACTTGGTAGCAATTCTTTAGCCTGATTCTGATGTCTCTATAGAAAGATTGCTTCTCATTCAAGCGAGTGTGTCCTACTCATTTGGTATGGCTTTTGTCTATGTTGTTCTCTGGTGACTCATTGTCATATGTAACATAGTGAAGTGATTTGGCATCTAAATATTTAGATTGAGTGAGTGCTGTAGAGTTGGACCTTTTGCTCTTTAGAGAATGAATAGTAAAAAGTATTGATTTTGATTTCTTCTGAGGCTAGTTTCTGAATAGCGCCACGCTAGTTTCTGTGTCTCGGCTCTGTTTTGATTCGCCGAGATTTTAGTAACTGCAAATCAAATCAAAATATGTACTTTCTCGTCATCTCCACCATGAAAGCAATTACATTTGCAGCCGGTTTTACCTAAACCGTATCTGCACGATTACAATAACCGATTACATTTCCGTCAAGTTATTTGATTAGGTCTGGATAAATTATCTGCAACTGAACCTAACCGAACCTTTTTTTTGAACAACCGAACCAGTACCAGAGAATTCGCCGGAAAGTTACCATCTGCAGATTCTCGTTTGAGAATCGAAGCTTCTTCCACTCTTCTCCTCCCTCCCATTATTTTCAGTGCATTTTAAGCCCACCAAATTGAGAAACAAACCAGAACAAAAAAACGCAAACCGGTAAGCTCAATAAGCTAATTAAGAGAAAGTAGTAAACCGGTTTTTGGAGCCAACTCTCTCTCTCTCTCTCTTCGTCACTCTCAGTGGCTGAAGAACATACTTTTCATGTGATTCAAGGGTTTACTGAGTTTTACAGATCGAAAGAAAAAGAGAAGATTGAGAAGAACCCAATCACCTGAATCCCAAATCGAGAAGATGAGATTCGCGATTGCAATTACGGCCAAGAGATTTGCTCATCGGGTCTTCTGGTGAACCAAGGTAATCCTGGAACTGCTTCTCCCTTCGTTTCTCCCTTTGCTGCTGCTGGAAACGAGCTTTCTCTGGTGGAGTTATGATTATAGAGAGAAGATTAGAGGTGGGTTTCTACAGAATGTTAAGTTAGATGATGCAATTGGTTTGTTCAGTGAAATGGTCAAGTCTCGTCCTTTGCCTTCCATATCGATTTCAATAAGTTGTTGAGTGCTATTGCAAAGATGAAGAAGTATGATGTTGTGATATCTCTGGGAGAGCAGATGCAAATTTGAGAATGCACATGATCTCTATACTTCAATATTTTCATAAACTGTTTCTGCCGCGCTCTCAACTCCTCTCGCTTTAGCTCTTCTTGGGAAGATGATGAAACTTGTATGAGCCCAGCATTGTCACGTTTAACTCGCTCTCAATGGTTTCTGTCACGGGAATAGGATCTGAGGCTGTAGCTCTCTGCTTGATCAAATGGTGGATTTGGGATATGAACCTAATACCGTCACATTCAACACTCTAATCCATGGACTCTTTCTCCACAACAAAGTCTCAGAGGCAGTGGCTTTAGTTGAACGGATGGTGCTGAAAGGTTGTCAACCAGATTTGCTTACTTATGGTGCGTTGGTGAATGGAGTTGTAAGAGAGGTGACACTGAACTGGCTTTAAAGCTTCTTAAGAAGATGGAGGAAGATAAAATAGAGCCAGATGTTGTCATCTACACACAATCATTGATGGTCTTTGCAAATACAGGCATCCGGATGATGCTCTCAACCTATTAACTGAAATGGAGAAGAAAGGTATAGACCTGACGTTTTCACCTACAACACCCTGATAAGCTGCCTTTGTAATTACGGAAGATGGGAAGATGCTGCTGGACTACTGAGTGATATGATTGAGAAGAAAATCAACCCGGATGTTGTTACGTTCAATGCTTTGATCGATGGGTTTGTGAAAGAGGGGAAGCTTTTGGAGGCCGAGAAATTGTACGAGGAGATGATAATAGGTCTATAGATCCTAATACTATTACTTACAGTTCACTGATCAATGGGTTTGCATGCAAGATCGCCTAGAGGAGGCCAAGCAGATGTTTGATTTGATGGTTAGCAAGATTGTCTCCCAAACGTTGTGACATATACATACTCTGATAAATGGATTTTGCAAGTCTAAGAGGGTAGAGGATGGCATGGAACTGTTTCGATATGTCTCAAAGAGGATTGGTTGGCAACACAGTCACTTACACACTCTTATCCAAGGGTTTTTCCAAGCTGGAGATTGTGAGAGTGCCCAACAAGTTTTCAAACAGATGGTTTCTGCTGATGTGCCTCCCAGTATTATGACATACAACATTTTGTTAGATGGGCTCTGTAAAAACGGGAAGCTCGAAAATGCATTGGTCATATTCCAGGATATGCAAAAGAGTGAAATGGAACTCTATTTTCACTTATAATATTATCATTGAAGGGTTGTGCAAGGCTGGGAAGGTGGAAGATGCGTGGAAGATATTTTGTAGCCTCGATCTCAAAGGAGTGAAGCCTGATGTTATAACCTACACCACAATGATCTCAGGGCTATGTAAGAAAGGTTTAAAGGAGGAAGCAATTGCCTTGTTCAGGAAAATGAAAGAAGATGGGCCTCTTCCAGATAGCGGTACCTATAATACGCTGATTAGGAGATATCTTAGAGATGGTGACAGAGCCGTATCAGCAGAACTCATCAACGAAATGAAGAGCTTCGGGTTTGCTGCAGATGCTTCAACCTTTGGCTTGGTCACTCATATGTTGTCTGATGGGAGACTGAACAAAAGCTTCCTCGATATGCTTTCTTGAAGTCTTTATCCTCTATAAACAGATTGTAGAGCAACCATCTTCACTTGAGAGCATTTATGAGGTGAATCGGCTTCTTCTTTCAATTTTTTGCTGTTCTTGTGATTACTTCTTGATGCAAGTTTACGTTTTCATGTTTAAATTGATTCTTGTGTGTGAGCTGCTTCATGGACATGACATGATCAGTGATGAGAGTCGGAAGAAGACTTTGATGTAACAGAGAGACCCTTTTGGTTGGAGCTGAGATAAATGCATAAAGGTTTCTGATATTACAAAGCAGCTTTATTTGATGCAAGCTCAAAGAGATTATTATGTATGTACAATACTTGGTGAAAATCCATTCTGATTTGAAAGTATAAAATTTTATTTGATTCATAGAAAGTTTTTCAGATTCCCTTTAGAGTTCACTGTCTCTGTCTCTGCAATTTTTTCACGTCAATTAGCAGTGTTAAACCAAGAAAAACCAGATAGATATGGATCAAACTAAATTCATAGTAACTTAATTTTCATTTGATAAAAAAAATAACCGAAACAAAAAATAAATGGAACCAAAATAAATTTTATCTCAACCAGAGATATACTTTTCTAGAAAACTAAAACAAACGTTGTCAAAAGAAAAAAGAAAGAGATAACCAAAGCAAATAAGATTATATACAAATCAAACCGTACCAGAGAACTCAGAGTGAACCGGTCACCGAGAAATGATAAGACGAAATCTTGACCGTCAAAATACCAAAATGATCCGACGGCTCTGGAAATCCATCTTCTTCAAACCGAAATTAAAATTTGCTCTGGGTTTCACAAAAAGTTTGTGAGTTTGAAGTTTCTGCAACTGTTCATTTAGGGGTAAACGAAGGTTGTGAGAGCGATTGATTGCGTCCGAGTCGGAGATTGAGAGGAAACCCAATCCACCACCTGAAGCTAAAGTCGCTGAAGATGAGATTTGCGATTGATTGCGTCTGAGTCGGAGATTGAGAAGAAACCCAATCCACCACCTGAAGCTAAGGTCGCTGAAGATGAGATTTGCGATTGCATTGAAAGCGAAGAGATTTGTTCACCGGAGGCTTCTGGAGAGAGGTAATCCTGGAACTGCTTCTCCTTCGTTCTCTCTTTGCTGCTGGGAACGAGCTTTCTCTGGCGGGAGTTATGATTACAGAGAGAAGATTAGAGGTGGGTTTCTACAGGATGTTAAGTTAGAGGATGCAATTGGTTTGTTCAGTGAAATGGTCAAGTCTCGTCCTTTGCCTTCCATATCGATTTCAATAAGTTGTTGAGTGCTATTGCAAAGATGAAGAAGTTTGATGTTGTGATATCTCTGGGAGAGCAGATGCAAAGTTGGGAATTCACATGTCTGTATACTTCAATATTTTGATAAACTGTTTCTGCCGCTCCTCTCAGCTCTCTCTTGCTTTAGCTCTTCTTGGGAAGATGATGAAACTTGGATATGAGCCCAGCATTGTCACGCTTTCTCGCTTCTCAATGGTTTCTGTCACGGGAATAGGATCTCTGATGCAGTCTTTGCTTGATCAAATGGTGGAAATGGGATATAAACCTGACATAGTGGCGTTTACAACTCTAATCCATGGACTTTTCTCCACAACAAAGCCTCTGAAGCCGTGTCTTTAGTTGAAAGAATGATTGCGAAAGGATGTCAACCAAATGTGCTTACTTATGGTGCGTTGGTAAATGGAGTATGTAAGAGAGGTGAGACTGATTTGGCTTAAAGCTTCTCAAGAAGATGGAGGCAGAGAAATTAGAGGCAGATGTTGTGATCTACAACACAGTCATTGATGGTCTCTGCAAATACAGCATCCGGATGATGCACTCGAGTTATTCAATGAAATGGAGAACAAAGGTATTAGACCTGACGTTGTTACCTACAACTCCCTCATAAGCTGCCTTTGTAATTACGGAAGATGGGAAGATGCTGCTGGACTAGTAAGTGATATGATTGAGAGGAAAATCAACCCCGATGTTGTTACGTTCAATGCATTGATCGATGGGTTTGTGAAAGAGGGGAAGCTTTTGGAAGCTGAAAAATTGTACGAGGAGATGATCAAAAGGTCTATAGCTCCTGATATTGTCACTATAATTCACTGATCAATGGGTTTTGCATGCAGAGTCGCCTAGATGAGGCCAAGCAGATGTTTGATTTGATGGTTAGCAAAGGTTGTCTCCCAGACGTAGTGACATAGTACTACTCTATAAATGGATTTTGCAAGTCTAAGAGGGTAGAGGATGGCATGGAACTCTTCCGTGAGATGTCTCAAAGAGGATTGGTTGGAGACACAGTCACTTACAACACTCTTATCCAAGGGTTTTTCCAAGCTGGAGATTGTGAAATGCCCAACAAGTTTTCAACAGATGGTTTCTGGTGTGCCTCCTGATATTTGGACATACAACATTTTGTTAGGATGGGCTTTGTAAAAACGGGAAGCTAGAGAGCATTGGTCATATTCCAGGATATGCAAAAGAGTGAAATGGAACTGATATTTCACTATAAGTATTATCATTGAAGGGTTGTGCAAGGCTGTAAGGTGGAAGATGCGTGGAAGTTATTTGTAGCCTCAGTCAAAGGAGAAGCCTAATGTTGTAACATACACTACAATGATCTCAGGATTCTGTAGAAAGGTTTAAAGGAGGAAGCAAGTGCCTTGTTCAGGAAAATGAAAGAAGATGGGTCCTCTCCCAAATAGCGGTACATATAACACGCTAATCCGGGCACACCTTAGAGATGGTGACAAAGCCGCATCAGCAGAACTCATCAACGAAATGAAGAGCTGCGGGTTTTGCTGCAGATGCTTCCACCTTTGGCTTGGTCACTCAATGTTACATGATGGGAGATTGAACAAAAGCTTTCTGGGGATGCTTTCTTAAAACAGACCATCTTCTCTTGAAAGCATATATGAGGTGAATCGTGTGTTTAACGTTTTCTTGTTTAAAGTTAGTGTTGTTTGTGAGCTGCTTCATGGACATAACGTTAGGTTGCAAACACATGATCAGTGATGAAAGTTGGAAGAAGACTTTAAAATTTTAGGAAGCTAAGCTTATGTACTAGAGACCCTTTTGCTTGGAAGTGAGATAAATCGGATACATAAGTTTCATCATAAAATAACTCAAAAAAAAACAAAAAAAGCCAAACATAGAAATAGTTGGTGTGTTACGTTACATGATAATAAAAAACACAGTTAGAGATTAAGAATTGGCACAATCCGTGTTCGGTCGGTGCGGAACAAACAGCATAAACATACAAAACACAAGATGAACACGACCATTATAGCGACGACTGGCAGAACTAAGATGAGAACTCGACCCATATTCATAATCATATTTGTTTCTTCACACCACAACTTGATCTTTCTAACTTTTTTCTTGTGTCTTCTTTTTCTTTTTGCTAAGGTCTAAATATATATATATATATATATATATATATATATATTGTATTGTTAACATAAAAGTGAAATTTGTAAGGTTTACATTTTATCATTAAGGAACATTGACTAGAAAAAAAGTTGGAAATTTTACATCTAGACATTAAAGTAAAAATAACTAGACAAAAGTATATAGAAGTTTTACATTTTGTAGTTTTTTGTCAATCAAGTATATAGTATATAGAAGTTTTACATTTTGTAGTTTTTTTGTCAATTATTTAAACCTACTACAATATTTTAACGTTTTGTTTCAAAACATTCTGAAATTTTGGTATTTAGGTCATTTTGCATGTTAATGTAATCTTTGTTTTTTAACGTGATAGGTTGCAAAACACACTTGTTGAAGACCCATTTGGTTGCAACTGAGATATATATGCATAATTTTTCTGATATAGATTTGTAAAGACAAAGAAGCTTTATTTGAATCAAGCTCAAAGAGATTATTATATGTACAAATACTTGGTGAACAAAACTTAGAAAAGTTAAAAATGCATTTTAATTTGAAAGCAAAAAAACTTATTTGATTCATAGAAAGATTTTCTAGATTCCCTTTGGAGCCACACCAACGGAGTTCAATGTCTCTGCATTTCGAGGCCTTTGGAGTTCACATGCACAAAAACAAAAACAAAATGAAGATTTCAGTTCTTGTTAGTTAAAACCAAGATAAACCAAATCAAACTAGGTCAAACCAAATTCATCATTGAACATACGTGGTGAATGGGTTAGGTCTGGTGGGATCAGATAAGATTGCACCAGACTTGTCTTGAATCTGACCTAGTTTCCTAAGCCAGGACTTGTTAATAAATTTGTCGGCGGAGGAAACACAATTGTCCGGATCATCGACTTCTGCCATAGCCCCTCTTCTGTTCTTCCTTGTACTGACCGACGGATTATGCACAATCTGCTGCTTGAGGCTGTGTCCGGCCATAACCACCGCTAAAGCAACAAAACCTCCTATTATAGCAATTGGTGCAAACTCTCCTGTTACTGAGAACCTGTTTGACCATAATCCAAGTGATGATCATCAAATTATGTTTCTTTATTTTGATTTGTTCCTTTTTTGTGTTATACAAATATTTTTGTAATTAACTATCGTTATGAGAAGATACAACTTATGAAATCACCATGACTAGGAAAAATGGAAGCTTAAACTAACCACGTGTATATACACTTAGGGATGTTTAAACTAATATTTTAATTATGTATATAGAAGAATATATTTAACTATATTAAAAATCAACAGATTTAACTAAAATCAGTGTAAAAAATAAAAATATGTCTAAAGCCTAGTCAAATGAACTAAATTGTGATATGATTCCCAATGCATGAGAGTTATTTTTCTAAAACTCGAAAATCTAAAAACTAAATCGAATAATGAATACTAAACAAATGAATATTAAACCGAACCATCTAAAAAATATATAATCTCTATTTTTGTTCAATTTCTTCAAAAATTGATGAAAAACATGAAAATGGGGCAACACACAAATGAATATTAAACCGAACCATCTAAAAAATATCTAATCTCCATTTTGGTTCAGTTTCTTCAAAAATTGATGAAAAACATGAAAATGGGGCAACACAAAGCATAAACTAGATCTCCAAAATCGATTTATACAACTCTAAGACTTTTTATGAATAAAAATAAAAATGAAACATGCAATAAAACCACTAAGATTCGATTAGAATTGTTGAAATATCCATAAATACTAAAAACTGAGATCTCCATCATAAATCAATAAATCTCTTACTTGTTATATGTTTGTTTGGCGGCGTCATGGGCGGTTGATGTCGCAAAGCGACGAGAGACACCGATTTGTTTGCCGGCCGACCGCAACTGGCTCTATAAACCAATAATCATAACAATCAGTTTCACAACAGATTCATTTGTTTCTTCGATACTTAAATGTGAAGAAACAATGCTTAAAACTATACTTACGGTGATTCTGAAAGCCATTTCTGTGAAAATTAATTTTTTGACAGAAGTTAGAAAGATTGAGATGAATAGTTGATTATATACACGATGGGATGAGACTATTTAGGATCTTTGTAACTGAAAATGAAGAAATTTTCAAAATGGCATCTTATATTTAGTCATATACAGAAATTAAATCTCACCCATCAAAAATTAATTTCTTAAAAAAAAAACAATAATATTTAACCTCAAAAAAATAGAAGAATTTTGAGGTTATTGATGATCGGTCCTAATACTATTGCACATCATATAATAAAATCGATGATTCTGCATATGTGTATATATGTGTGTGATTGATTTAATTTTATTTGACGTTGTTACTTATAATGAAAATCGACCCATCAGAATTTGCAAGAAAAACATGAGTTAGACAGATAACTACTATATTTATCATAGAAAACATTATGAGATTATACATGTGATTAGATTTTTAAAATAAATAAATCATAAGAGGAGCGAATTAATATCTTTCGCTCTTTGTTAATTTAGACATATATATATTACTATCGCTTTAGTTCTTCTTCCCTTCTTCTTGTTACATGTCTCCAAACAATTAACTACGCATGAGTCAAACCAAATCTGAAGAGCTTTCATTTTCTGAAGGTGAAGGAGATGGTGGAACCTCAAAATTATCTACTGAAGGTGAAGGAGAGACTGGTGTAACCATATCTTCTGAAGGTGAAGGAGACACTGGTGTAACCTCAAAAAAAACTTCTGAAGGTGAAGGAGAGACTGGTGTAACCATATCTTCTGAAGGTGAAGGTGAAGGAGATTCAGTTGGAGAAGGAGAAGGAGAAACTCTGTGACGACCACAATGATTACCGAGTTCACACAAGGGACGGGTTGCATGAACCAAAATGTTCTCCATTCCCATTACCACTATCATCACCATCATTAACATGGCTACACTTTTTGTATTCATCATTTTTCTTTTTCTTTTCTCAAAGATTATATGTGTGATATTGTTGTGAGAATTGTGAATGTTGATGTTTGGTTGCTTAGTTTCGTGTATTTATATAGGAGGATCTGTGTAAGTTTGTGTTATAGGTGATAAGAAATTATTAAGGTGAAAATGTCAGAGAATAGTTTATAATTTGGGTGCTAATTCAAGTATAGAATAATATCTTACTATCTGGATAGGGTATTAATAGACATGTATATCCAAAATGTTATTCATATAAGTTAAGGTGATATTATACTAAGATCAATTCATGAATCATAAAAGTATAAAATTAGAAGCATCATATATAACTTTTTTAAGAAACATACTTAGTATATATAGGTTACTTACTAAGTTATTTAATCATGTAGTATTCACACTTTTTAGATATTCATTAAAGAAGCATGGATTTTAATTGTTTTATGAACTTAGAAGATTTATGTTTCTATTTGTAAGCTGAGTTTATCATATATTTTCAATAACTTTTTAGAGATATTCAACTAACAGACCTACTAAACTTGACTACTAAATCTTTAAGTTGGTCGACTTTAGAATTTTAATCTGTCATTGTTATATGTTTCCTTCAACTAACAGATCTACTAAACTTAAGTTAATAATTAATTGAGAGAATTACCAGTCACTTATGAGACGTGAATCTACATGATATTTAATTCATATGGCTAATATTTAATTCATATGAAACTTTCCATCCATCGTCTTCGTCGTATTCGATCGCAATGGAGATAACCGTGATTATGAACTTAGACAAATTCTTGGAGAATCAAAAACACAAGGCAATAATCTTGTTTCCATGAAAGAAGTTAAAAATCATTCTCTTTGTATATTAAAAATAAGAATTTTCTTCAATGTAAATAATACACATACTCTTAGCTCGACCCACTCACTGCCATAGTGTGTTTGAGAGTTTGAAAAAAAAAGTAATACAATTCTTATTAAGTTTTTACAGTAGATGAAGTTTAAAATTCTGTAACCTATTTGGCTATTTCGCAGGCACAGAAATAAAAATGACAGTAATACAGTATAAACATATTACCATTCTTAAATCTTCGGCCACCACCAAAGTTATTCAAACACAATGTTCTTTGAAGCCATAAAGAATCATGATTGTTAGCTTTTAGTCTGAGCTATTCGATCTAGAGAACATTTATCTGAAATATATAGTGTTCTTCACGATATTCATCAATTAGCTTCCTCTTTTGTCTTGACACTTCAATCTAAATTATCTTATACTTCATTCAGGTATATGGTATTATACTATTCGATTTTTTCAACAAAAAAAAACAAAAATACCATTCAATGAATAGTAAATATATTATTACGTCTCATACAAAATGATAAGATACATCTTATTATAGATTAAAAATAAAACATACGAGGAGCGAAGTAATCAATCGCTCTTTATTAATTTAGAGTTTAGACATATGTATTAGTAATATAATGTTGCTATCGCTTTAGTTCTTCACTTCTTCTTGTTACATGTCTCCAAACAGTTTACTACGCATGAGTCAAAGCGGTCCACATCTTCTGTTCCCACCCAAAAACCAATACAAAGACAAACAAAATAACATTAGTCAGATCCAGTTTATTTTTTAGCCTTTGAATGCTAATTAATATACAGTAGATAAAAAATAGAAATATATATAGAGTGAGGAAATAATATTAAGTTTGAAAAGAAAATGAGTAAACGACAACTTACTTGGATCTTTGCCAAGGTGAAAGCACTGATTCATAGAACAACCAAACATGCAAAAGAAAGTGTTTCCCTCTGACTTCGGTGTTTCTGGCTTTGGTGTCTCTGGTGACTCTGGTGAATGAGAAACAGAATTTAGAGAAAGATCAAGTTTTGAAGGAGCTGGAGCTGGAGCATGACGATGATGCTTCTTCTTCTTCTTTTTCCTTTTTCTTTCAGGATTCACATCGAAAGGGCTTTCATCTTCTGAAGATAAAGAATCCCCTGTCAAATGAAAATCTTGTAAAGTTAAAGGAGATACATTTTGTGTAACCCCAAATAAATCTTCTAAAGAAGAAGGAGATATTGGTGTATCTTCTGAAGGAGCTGGAGCTGGAGCATGACGATGATGTTTCTTCTTCTTTCTTCTCCTATGTCTGTCAGGATTCACATCGAGAGGGCTTTCATCTTCTAAATATAAAGAATCCTCTGTCAAGTGAAAATCTTGTAAACTTAAAGGAGATACATCTGATGTAACCCCAAATAAATCTTCGAAAGAAGAAGGAGATATTGGTGTATCTTCTGAAGGAGCTGGAGCTGGAGCATGGCGATGATGTTTCTTCTTCTTTCTTCTCCTATGTCTGTCAGGATTCACATCGAGAGGGCTTTCATCTTCATCTTCTGAAGATAAAGAATCCTCTGTCAAATGAAAATCTTGTAAAGTTAAAGGAGATACATCTGCTGGTGTAACCCCAAATAAACTTTCTGAAGGAGAAGGAGATATTGGTGTATCTTCTGGAGGAGAAGGAGAAAGTTCACATCCACCAGAAAGTTCACACAAGGGACGGTTTGCTTGAACCAAAATGTTCTCCATTCCCATTAACACTATCATAACCACCATTAACATGGTTACACTTTTTGCACTCACCATCATTTTTTTTGTTGGGTAACAGTTGAAGAGCTGTTTTTTGTGAATGTTGATGTTTGATTGCTGAGTTTTCGTGTATTTATATAGGAGGGTCTGTGTAAGCTTGTGCTATATTTGATAAGAAATTCTTAAGGTGAAAAATCAAAGAATATAGTTACTCAATCATGTAATATTAATAATTTGGAGATATTCATTAAAATAGCATGCATGGATTTTAGGTGTTTATATAGGAGAATATATGTAAGCTTGTGTTATAGGTGATAAGAAATTATCAAGGTGAAATGTCAAAGAATTCAATAATGTAGTATTTAATAATTCAGATATATTCCTAAAAATATCATGGATTTTTAGTTGTTTTATGAGCCTAACATAGATTTCTTAAATTTTTGGTTATGCCATCTGTACACAGTTTTTTTTTTACAAAATCAATCTTTAATCAATTGTAGTGTGACAATTGGGAAGTTATATGTTTCAGTTTGTGAGAACTAAGATGGGTTAATCATAGATTTCCAATTAGTTTTTTTTTTCAGAGATATTCCTCACAAATTCACAATCTACAACTATCAAATATTGAATCATTAAATTTCTAGTTTAAATTATTTAAAACATTTAAAAGTAAAAAAATCAAAACAAAAACAAATCAACAATGATTTTAGTTTTGTTGGGTGATAAATAACTGGAGACTGATAATTTATGTTTGTATAATACATCATCCATTCATAACAAAAAAAACAAAATGATTGTTTGACACAATTCCTACCATATAAGAAATGTGTAAATATATTAGTATGGTCTACTCAAGATGATATCATTTATGAAATGGATGAAGTATAGTTATCACTAGACTAGAAATGTGACAAACTGAAATTTTTATAGAATCTGAAATTTTAGTTTAAATTTATGAAACTTGAGATCTGAGCTAATTTGGCGGTGTCTTATTCGTCGATATGTCCAAGACATAATTAATTTAATGATATCCAAAACACTAAGGGGCATTATTGTCATTTCCACTTCGTCAACAACATCGAACAAAACCACACGAACCAAACTACAAACCAGACCGACCTATCAGAGAGAGATTCAGATCAGTTATGTCTGCAAAAGAATCTCTGTGATAAATCAATCAAAGCACTGAGCGAGTCATCGTGTAACTCAGTAAACGAGTCGAGAAGACAAACCAAATTCAACAAATGGAATCGTTAGACATGACTTCCATGGCCGCCTCGATCGGCGTCTCCGTCGCCGTCCTCCGTTTCCTCCTCTGCTTCGTCGCAACGATCCCAGTCTCCTTCGCTTGGCGATTCGTCCCGAGTCGACTCGGCAAGCACATCTACTCTGCTGCTTCTGGAGCTTTCCTCTCTTACCTCTCCTTCGGCTTCTCCTCCAATCTCCACTTCCTTGTTCCGATGACGATTGGTTACGCTTCAATGGCGATTTATCGACCATTGTCTGGATTCATCACTTTCTTCTTGGGTTTCGCTTATCTCATTGGCTGGTAATAACAAAATCAAAGCTTCAATCTTTACACTCTCTAAAGTCTAAATCTTGTTCCTTTTTCTTGACCCAAAATTGAAACTTTCATTTACTTTTATGTGTAGTCATGTCTTCTATATGAGTGGAGATGCTTGGAAAGAAGGAGGCATTGACGCTACTGGTAAACAAACACTTTCATTTTTACACTTAGCTAAGTGTTAATTTATCAGAGATTTATGGAAAGTTTGAATCTTTTAGATTTTTGAATAATGGTGAAAACAAAAAGCTGAAATTTTTTTGATTGTGTGATGAAAATGTGTATTAGTAGCTTTGATGGTGTTGATTTATCAGAGATTTATGGAAAGTTTGAATCTTTAAGATTTTTGAATAATGGTGGAAACAAAAAGCTGAAATTTTTTTTGATTGTGTGATGAAAAATGTGTATTAGGAGCTTTGATGGTGTTAACGTTGAAAGTGATTTCGTGCTCGATCAACTACAACGATGGGATGTTGAAAGAAGAAGAAACTCTCCGTGAAGCGCAGAAGAAGAACCGTTTGATTCAAATGCCTTCTCTCATTGAGTACTGTGGCTATTGCCTCTGCTGCGGAAGCCATTTCGCTGGCCCCGTTTTCGAAATGAAAGATTATCTCGAATGGACCGAAGCTAAAGGCGTAAGCTTTCTTGTTCTTGTTCTTGTTCTTGTTCCGGTTCTTGTTCTTGATCATTTGTTTGTTCAGATTTGGGGAAAAGGAAAGCGAGCATCGCCATTTGGAGCGACGGTTCGAGCTATATGTCAAGCAGCGGTTTGCATGGCGCTGTATCTCTACTTAGTGCCTCAGTTTCCGTTGACACGTTTCACCGAGCCAGTGTACCAAGAATGGGGATTCTGGAGGAGGTTTGGTTACCAGTACATGGCTGGTTTCACGGCTCGTTGGAAGTATTACTTCATATGGTCCATCTCAGAGGCTTCCATCATCATCTCCGGGTTAGGTTTCAGCGGTTGGACCGACGAGAAAGCTCAAACGAAGGCGAAATGGGACCGTGCCAAGAACGTTGATATTTTGGGTGTTGAGCTTGCTAAGAGTGCCGTTCAGATTCCGCTTGTGTGGAACATTCAAGTCAGCACTTGGCTCCGTCACTGTAAGTAAAGAACTAACAATGCTTATGAGTGAGAAAGATCATAGAGATTGCAGAGATTTTAAGAGTTTTCTTCTTGTGTTTGACTGCAGATGTGTATGAGAGAATTGTGAAGCCTGGGAAGAGAGCTGGTTTCTTCCAGTTGCTTGCTACGCAAACCGTTAGCGCCGTTTGGCATGTAAGTGCTTCTTCTTCTTCAGTGTCATGATTTAGGAGTAAGAAGTGTTTTTGATTAGTTATGGTGATAAAGGAAACGTTTTTATACGCTTTTAAAGCTTCAAAATCTCTTCTATTGGCATGTGAGTGCTCATGCACAAGTTTAAACTCTGTATGTTGATGATCATCTGCTGAATCTTGCCTGAAGTCTTGACCTTTATTTTGAAAATCTTGAAAGTAGCGGTTTTTGATTGGTTATGGTGATAAAGGAATGATTTTTATGTGTCTGCATTGCTAATTCTGCATAAAGGTTCAATCTTTTTGTTGTTGTTGTTGCAGGGACTGTATCCTGGATACATTATATTCTTTGTTCAATCTGCATTGATGATCGATGGTTCTAAAGGTACAATAGTCACCTTCATCTCTCGGTAACATTCTCTAAATTAACGTTCTTGATCTTGAAACTGTATACATTTTCTTTTGAGCAGCTATTTACCGATGGCAACAAGCACTGCCTCCGAAGATGGCAATGCTGAGAAACGTTATGGTTTTGATCAACTTCCTCTACACAGTTTTGGTTCTCAATTACTCATCCGTTGGCTTCATGGTATAAAACTTATCTTCCCCCCTCAATTTTCCGGGTTTTTTTTCGCTTATAATCTCTCATTCTTTGTGTGTGTGTTTGTTGTTCAGGTATTGAGCTTACACGAAACACTCGTAGCCTTCAAGAGTGTATATTTCATAGGAACAGTTATACCAGTTATGGTGATTCTACTCAGCTATGTAGTTCCTGTGAAGAAGCCTGTGAGACCAAAGACACGAAAAGAAGAATAAAAACTGCCTTTTTAAAAACCAGTTAAAAGTTTTTTTACATTTTTCTTCTTTTCACTTGGGACTGTTTATGTACAACACGAGAAATATGATTTGAGTTTATTTTTAATTACTTTTATTGATAGGATTTAAATACACAAATATTATAATTTTTTGGATGGATCTAAACCGGATAGTTTGGTTCCTTGGATCCAACCAATCCTCCTCCAACAACATGGACACATGGTGGTGGTGTTTTGTTGTTAATGTATTTTCTGTAAAGCCTAAAATAAAAAAGGATCGATGTAGACATTTGCTACAAAATTAAAAATATTATCATCTTAAGATTACATTTTAGAGACATGATACAGATTTAGGAAGATCCGAATCCCGAAGGGGGGATTAGTATAATAAACAGGGATTAAGGGAGATTTATTAAGGTTAAAAGAGTGTTTAATATTTGTTTAAGTGAATAAAAGTAGAAAACACCCCTGAAAGAGACATGTTATGATGGAGAAACATTAGCAAGAAGATATGTGGACCATATATATTAATATATAATCAAGTCACGTCAAAATATATATGGTCGGGAACTTACTTTTTACAGATTGTATCACATAATTTAACAAAATGCATTTGATACTGTGGACTTTCACCTAATTATTTGATTTCACATTTATAGGAATGGTCTTGAAAATGACATTTAACACTGGTTAGATATATCTTTAAAAGTATCCAAGTAAGATTTAACTTTTTGGTTAACTAAACTAAATTCAAGAGTGATTAGCTGCATGGTAAAGTTATAGTGAGATATGAACAACCAACAAAAAAGAAAAAAAAAAAAGGTTAAGTAAAATAAAGAATGACCGTGTCGGCCATACTAACCACTTTTTACTTTTGGTCAACAAAATCATAACAAACAAATTATATTCTTATCAAATTGCTTAATTCTTTTTTTGTTGACAAAATAATTAATTCAACGTTTTCTGCTCGTTCAAAGTCAGTGCTAAATCAAATTTCGGCTATTCTAGTTGCATACTCGATGGAGCCCGAAAAAACTCTGACATCTTTATTTCATGTAAGAAGTAAGAAACAAAAAAAAAGTTTGTGAATAATTATACTTCGTACAATGCTAGCAGAAAGATGAGTACAAAAGAAAGACTGTAATTTTCAGGTAGCCTAGTACCGGACAAATACGTACCATCCACTACTATTATTTTTTAAACTTGAACCCAAATAAATAACAAATAAGTTACGTACTAATACAGTTTTAGAGACTGATTAAACTATGTACTAATAGTATTTTTTATGTTTGTTCGATCGTGCAAGATAATCGGTAGTTATGTCACTTGAAGTTGAAGGAGTTGAAGTAAGTTGTTGATATTTGCTGAATGAAATTTACCTTCAAGAGTCTGTATTACAAACAATATTATTCAACTTTAATGTTTTTGTTCTTTTGTATACTCTATTATTTGACTATTTGTCGTATATATCGCCCAAAATATTAACATAACATTCCATAATTTATAGCCGTAAATGTAATCTACCAATTTTGTTTCGATAGGGGATGTTATGTTCAAACCCGTGAGTGTAAAGACAGACAAACTAGCAAACCCACTTGCCACAAGGTCTTGGCAAACTAGAAAAACATATAAATTAGATTTATTGTCTGGTCAAAAGTTAACTTCGATACTAGATTCAATGTATTGTCCACATATTTAACGTAATCATCTCCTTTTCTAATAAAAGAGAAACACCTTTTAAGCCTACTATGACTTCTTGAAATTTCGGGAAGTACGGACACAAATAAAACTCGCTATAAATTGGCACCTTTGTATGTCGACTTCACCAACATTCACACTCAATCAGAATAAGTTTATATAGACTCTAAAGCAGTCTCGTACATAAAGCATCTACAACGTACACATGCATACATATAAATTTTTCAAAATAACAATTACCCCATCCGACAGTAATAACAACAAAGTTTTAGCATACACATATTCAGAGACTCTTTTTTCACTCGGAAGTTCATATATAAATGCGATCAGGGGTGCGTTACAATAAAGGATTAGTAGTCTTATGGTAACATTCCTAGCACTAATAGTCATCATCATTTAAAAGAAAGACATATACAAAAACAATTGTTTGGCGTATTCGAGTCTGAACAAAAATTATACTGTATGGTCCCCAGCGATATCGAGAAAGATATGTGTTGTCTCCTCTATATGAAGGATAAACACAAATACATGAATATATTGATTTTCCGTATTAATCTTTTGAACAATAATACTATAATAGTTGTTTCTTGTTCCTCTCTGTTGCTTTGTTTTTTTTTTTTTTTTTTAATTATAAGTATATTTGGTTTTGTTCACATATTTAGCTTGTTATTGTGTACGGACTTAAATTGGTAGTTACTTACAAATAGTCTCAAGATTAATAAGGTACAAGATATTGAGACTAATTTCAAGTCAATAAGGTTTCTCTTGCCAAGATCTTATTGTCTCCATTTTTTAGAAACATACATCCATATATTGATTTAGATGTTTTGTTGGATCCGCATTACCTAATTGTTTTAGAGCTGACCAAGATGATGAATGTCTTAGAGACTGTTTCATACAATCTATGGAGGCATCTCCCTAATCAAAACGTTCATACGCAAATGAAAACCAACGGAAATATAATTGAAGTATTATATATCCAGATCATTACTTTAGAGTCTTTTATATAATTTATTTACAGATTTGTATATGGCAAAGTGGCATATAGATCTGAACTACTGAGTACTTTATGAACAGGTAACAATTATTTCATTATTCTAATCAATTTTCACTAACTAGTAGGAAAGGTAACTGATTAAGAGTTCTTTTGCCATTAATCCGTCTGATAAATGACCTATCATATAAAATTATAAACAGATAGAACCACCTTTTCCTAGTTTTATGCTGGTGAATGAAAATACAAGATAGTGAATCATTTAAAGAGCCGCCGTACCATTTGTATAGTTAGATAAGTCGTCTTCACTGATAATATAACTTAATCTTGGGGGGTATTGGTGACAGTAATTCGATGGAATTTAAAGGAATTGACGATTCCATTCAATTCCTGTGTTATTCGAGTATATATTTTTTCAATTCCTTTAAATTCCGGTGTTATTCGGTGGAGGATTTGTAGTCATTCTTTCTAATTCCTTTAAATTCCGGTGTTATTCAAATTCTCAGTTTTTCGATTTCATTAAATTCTGGTGTTATTCGATATTGGATATATTTGGTGGTATTGTCATTTGGAAGAAATTTAATAGAATTTGAAGAAAATTTTGTAAAGGCTTAATTCTTCCAGTTTTTGCACAGATTTTAATAGAATTTATTGAATTCTCAACAATTACTCTAAAATATTTCAAAATCCTTTAATTTTCAATTCTTCTCATTTCTTCCTAATTCTACAAGCGAATACCCTTAATCAAAATATTTTCACCAACATTAGAGTGACTTTAGGGCATTCTGTGAAAGAAACAGTGTAAGCCCGATGACCAATCGACAGGTGTCAATGATGGCCACACAATCTTTTCTCTAAAAACAGTACAAATGTTAAATCAGAAGAGACAAGCCAACTTAACTTTGTATTTTTTATAATTAGTTAAGCAAATGAAAACAAGACACATTTTTATGATTAGTGAGCACTATATTAAAGAAAATATTTTAGCTGACCAAGTGAAATTAAACCTGATCACCCCTAACTTTACCGTGTCTCAAAACCTAAAAACATTGAAGTTATTATAATATATATATTTTTTCTTTACGACTTAGTGATAGATAAAGTGATAGACATGATCAAATGAAAGTGCTGCCATATCATCTACATCCTTATTTTAACCTCTTTCTGTCTTTGCTTTGATAAGGAGATTAGAGATTTAGAAGAAAAACAATTGACTTTCTTCGGTGATTCAATGCCAGCATCAGAGTCAAACGTTGAGACACTTATTTAGCGTCATATGACTAGTACAAGCAAATCTATAAAATGTCGCCTTATGTATAATTATTTTCTTTATCAATTTATATTATCTATGTGTGTGAGTAAGTTTATGTTGAAAATATATATATGCTACTCTTTAGTATAATAATTCATGCATACACATATTCATTGACCACGTACTAATTTTTATTGTCAGTTTAGTTATGTACATAAAAAATTGTCACTTACCTTGATCCATTAATATCTATGAATATAGGAACAAGAAATTTAACTACATAGGGAGTTTTAAATCTCATATGTTGACCTTTAAACAAAAACAAAATTAAGAATCTATTCATGGAGGTGGTAAATGTAAACAAAAGATGACAGACACTCAAGATTAGGAAAATTTACAGAAAACCCTAATCCCAAAATTCAAGAATGCCCAAGAACCCTAATTCAAGAACACTCCAAAACCCAAACGTGTGTGTGACTAAAATTGTTCAAAAAGATTTATCTTCTTGAATCTTGAAAAGTGGAAAACATACGATTTATTTAACAAATCATCTCAAACAAGTGATCACGATCATCAGGATAAACAAAGAAAGATGATTCGCATATATAAAAGTGAACAAAGCATCCAAACACCAAAATTAAACACATTTCAATCTATCAATAGCTCCACAAGCTCTCTCCGTCTGAATTCTCCGGCGAATCATCCGACGGAGGAGATCCTATCCACGGTGGAGCTACCATCATCCCCTTGGCCATATCCACTAACAAACCAGGCATGTTCAACAGCTCTTCTTCATCCACAAACTCTGTAGTTGAAGATCCCGCCACATTGCAAACTTCCTCTTCCTTCTTTTCCTTCTCCTTCAAAGCCGCATTGGCAGCCGCAGCGGCAGCACCAACCGTAGCAGCAGCGGTAGCCGCAGCGATTCTGATATGAGCTGCGGAGGAGGAAACCGGAAGAGTGTAAGACCCTACGGAGTCCGGGAAGTTCAGGACCGCTTCCTCTCCTTTAAGAACTAAAGCCGCCACGTCGTAGGCCGCAGCAGCCATCTCCGGCGTCGTATAAGTCCCGAGCCAGACACGTGTAGTCTTCTTAGGCTCTCGGATCTCTGATACCCATTTCCCACCCCGGCAACGGATGCCCCGGTAAACCGGATGCTTTTTCCGGCGAGAGACGGTGGCGGCGTCAGTGGCCATTAATGTGGTGATGACATTACCACTTGTAGTAGAAGAAGCAGCCGCAAAAGAAACAGTAGTCGTAGTCGTAGTCGTAGTGATAGTAGTAGCAAGTGGACAAGGGTTTTCACACGTGACAGAGGCAGAGAGACTGTCACCGCACGTGCGAGCTGGTGCAACAGTAACTGACGATGAAGAAGCTTGGCTTATAGCTTTAGGTTCAGTGATGATGATAGGATTTTTAGGGTCAGCCATATATATTATCTATAAATATATATGTGTGTATGTTTGTGTGTGTGAATTTATATGTAAATATGTATATGTATAGAGAGAGAGAGAGATGGATAGAAATGGAATAGGGTTTTTTAGTGAAAGAAATTAAGGTTTTTAAATATGAGAACAAAGTGCGTGGCTATTGCGTGGGGTTTCCCTAAAGTGTGTTTTGTTTGTGTTTAGAGTTGGTGGGGTTATATATTTAGCTGTAAACAATAATTTTTTTGTTTATTATATTGGACAGTTGATTCAGATTTTCTTGTATAACTATCCAGATGGATAGATTAAGACATTTAAGTGGTGCTTGGGAAACTTTATATCAATTTGGAGTGACAAAAAACACAGCTTTTTTTTTAATTGAAAATGAGAGGAACAGTGTTTGATTCACTGTTGTTAATAACCTTCCATGTCTTTATTGAAGTCTACCAAATTTGATTATGGATCCTAGATTGAGGCCCAATAGCCTACTATATAGTTTGATATACATAGATCACTGAACTTGGAGAATTCGATACTTTACTCTTTACACTTAACATTTTTGTTACAAACGGAAACTAAAACGTTTCAAAAACTTATTTCATAGGAAATTACACTTAGAGTGAAATGTGACCGACCAAGATATATTGTGATGTACATAACATAAGCCATTCAACACTTTACTAAAATAAGATTTACATTTTGGAATAGACACACACAGAGAGAGAGAACTAGATACGACCAAAGTTACTAATAACCAAACTGAAACTGTGTTTCGGTTTCAGTAACAAAAATTTACAACATCTGAATCGAACCGAATTTTTGTTCGGTTTTAAATTGGCGGGAATTTGTCCAAACTGAAGTACCGACTGACAAATCAAAAGAACCAAACCAGTTAACCTGATTAAACCGGATCTCCATGCCTAGAATAAACAGTTACTAAATGATTTATTGATTGATTGCTATGTAAGGAGATTAAAAGGTGCGTGAAGCAGCCGCGCAAGTGACACTCACTTCACAGTGTTACGCATTTATTCCGACGACAAAATAAGAATCATTTATTCAAACAAAATATGGTTGGCCCATTGTCCCTACTCCAGGCATGACTGCTTTCTAGGACTCATACATTATTATTTGTCTTTATTCATTGATCCTTTCATATGCATAAATGGTGAATAGTGTGATACTACATTAACTTATTTACATGTGTCATATCATATGTTATAGCGTTCCAAACGTAGCGTTTTCCAAGTGTTAATCTTATATTTCGTTCTTCTTATCTTATAGTTAGAGAGATGCCGAATTTGGTATGATATACAGTGAAAAAATGTTACCCCCACGGAAACCCCACGTGTTATTCACATCTACTTTCCTCTCAATGGAATAAAAGACCACGTGCTTTAAATTCACAGGCTAAAATATTCCGTTAAAAACCCAATTTTACGAAATATATAACGGCTCGGTTTCCTCCAAAAAAATTCAACGTAGTGACCACATTTTTCAAAATTTAATCTGTTATTGTCTGCTCTCATAGTCTCATACTCCCTCCGTTTCAAATTAGTTGTCGTTTTGGCAAAATGTATCTACAAATATTTGGATGTATCTGGACGTGTTTGGCATTGCAGATACGTCCAAATATTTGCAGATACATTTTGCCAAAACAACAATTAATTTGAAACGGAGGGAGTATTGCTCTCATCCTGACTCTAATATCAGTGTGCTCGAATACTAACACAACATTACAATATTCAAGTGGCGAAAACAAAAATTGTCAAACCAGAATTATTCGCACGATAGCCTGATTATAGATCCTTAGCTAACAACTACTATAGAGTTCGACAAACAAAATCCTCAAGCAAACAGACTAATTTTACAATATTAATCTCATTTTAAACTGTGTATAAAGTATATATTTATATTTTGTGAATTAATACAAACGGTTTAGTTTTCAATGTCTAATCGAACGTCCAGCTGTTTGACTATTTATTTTAAATTTAGACCAATGTCAATTAATTTGCAGAAAAAATTACAATTATGTATTAAATGTGTAACTATTATTAACAGCTAATAATAAAGACGTTTATAAAAATAGCCAGCATGGCTTAGGTGCCCAAAAAGGAAATAGATAACCATACCATATGTATCACACGCGTTCGTTTCGTTCTTGGGTCCCATAACCATAGCCTATATATAGTTTTTTTTTCTCACTTCACTCTTTACTTCACTCACAACGGCAAACACCAAAAACAGAGCAAACTTCAAGAAACTCAAAGCTTCATTTTCAGTTTGATTTAAAGAATCCAGGTAATTTCAAGAATCCAGTTATCTTATAGTCTTTAAAAATTTGTTTTTTTTTCTTCTTAATTTTTATAACTAACTTTATTTGCATTTTACTCAGTTTATAACTATGTTTCAAAAGTAAAGCTTCAATGCAAATTTTCAAGAACACAATAAAATAATTCATGTAAACTTTCATGTTTTCTTACAGATTTTTTTTTTTTTTCCTGATTTGGTTTCATTTCTATTGCATTTTACTCTGTTTTATAGCTATGGTTTATAACTCAAATTAAGTTTGAGATTTTTTTCAACAAAAAAAATAAGTTTGAATTCAGTTCGATTATTAATAACCAATAATTTGCAAAATTGAGTTATTTTAACAGTTTTCTGATTCGTACGTCGTCACAAAATTTCGAATTTTTCTGTTTTTGTTATATTTACCAAACAGTTTACTCTGTTTCATCGGAACCAGGTCGGAGATGGAAAACGAAGACATTAACCTAGCTGAGATGCGTCCAAAGAAGCGTGCGGGACGCAGGATTTTCAAGGAGACACGTCATCCGATCTACAGAGGCGTGCGTCGGAGAAACGGCGACAAATGGGTCTGCGAAGTCCGAGAACCGGTACACCAGCGCCGAATCTGGCTCGGCACTTATCCCACGGCGGAGATGGCGGCGCGTGCTCACGACGTAGCCGTGCTTGCTCTGCGCGGGAGATCCGCGTGCTTGAATTTCTCCGACTCCGCCTGGCGTTTACCGACGCCGGAGTCCACCGACGCGGACACGATCAGGCGCACGGCGGCGGAAGCAGCGGAGAGTTTCAGGCCGCCGGAGTTTAGCACCGGAATTACGGTTTTACCCTCGTCCAGTGATGGTGGCGGCGAGGAACTTGCCACTTCGGAGGAAGGAGTGGGAATCGCCGGAATGATGATGAGGCTTGCGGAGGAGCCGTTGATGTCGCCGCCGAGATCGTATAGTGATATGAATACGAGTCTATACGTTGAAGAAGAAATGTGCTACGAAGAGTTGTCACTGTGGAGTTACTAAAATGCGCATGCGTGCGTGATAAGTTAGTTATTTTCCCGGGGTTTTCTAAGGGTTTAAGAAGATACTCTGTGTGAGATCAAAGGTTCCATTATGATATAGTTTTGCATTAATTAAATAAAGAGGCGTAATGGGCCTAGATATGAAAAAGTCCAGCCCATTTTAATAAGGCCCTAGTTTATATTTTTTTGTTAAACTACCTTAGTTTCCTACTTTCCTATAGGGATTTACGAAAATATATCAATAGTTTATATAATGTTTAAAAGCTTTATTCCAAAAAATAATAATGTAAACTTCCGGGAAAAATAATGTAAAATAATTTTATAAATATATTTATTTATATGAAGTTTATGCTACATGCTTTCAAACTGATAAATTATAGATAAACAACTTTTTTATATGAATAAGATGTTAGGTAGAGTTCTGTATTTTTTCCCCCATGTTTTGATCTTTAGTTCGCTTTGTCTTGTAGAACTGAACTAAAGTACTATGTAGTGGAAAATAGAAAATGCATGCTTCCATGGATTTGTTTGATCGACCTATCACTCACTGGGCCATTCGTATACATGCTATTTAGTTCGTGACCAATGATCAGTGAGTACCCACTTAATATTTGCCACGTGTGTGTATGTATTGGTGAAAGAGATGGGACCAAGATTGCTTTCTTCTAGTATGTGACAAGTAACTATAGCATAGCAAGATATCACCTAAAAGTAAAACCATGAGTGATTTTGTAGTGACTATTTTACTGGTAAAAAAGGGATTACAAAAACATCAAACTTAGCCTAAACTTCAAAACCAGACTTCAACTGATTACATCATCCATTTCATACCAAAAAATAAAACAAAAACAGATTACATATTTTTTTTTAAAGGATTTGAACGACAGAATAATAAAAAGGGCCCATGATTTTTAAAAGACTGGGTTCTGTTTCTGACCAAAAAAAATCGTCTTTTTCCTATTTTTGTTTCTTATTTACAGAGAAAATATGAATTCTCCATCTCTGTCTCTCCCCATCGGTTTCTTTCTGATTGTTTCTTTGCTATTTTCAGCTTTCATGAACTGTCTTGGAGACTTCAATGTTTTTCTAGAGATGTAAAATGGCAAAACCCGAAAATAATATATTAAATTAACAATAAGGCTGTATTATTACAGACAAAAGCGTTATGTTGACGAAACAAATGTACTATATTGACCAACAAAAGGATGTACTGTAAAATAAAATAAAAATCATACTGTTCAAACAAAACCAAAATAAAATCAGAAATTTATCATAACTGGATATATCATGGGAGAATATGATCACGGATTTACACAATAAAACAATAAAAACTTTGTTGCAAGTGACTATATACGATCCAATGCTCACAAATGGACCATAAATGTGGTCATATATAGCTTGATAAAATTCGAGTTATCAACTCACAATATGACCTTTTTTATTTATTTATATAACTTTCATGAAGATCAAAATCCTTTTGCAGAAAGCGTATCCCTATAAAGCAACTTTTTAAATGACATATAGCTTTCCATGCCCAAAAACTTTACTCTTATTACCGTTTAATATTTCTCATGTGGAAAGATATGTGACAATGTGGTTAACAAAGAAGATATGTGACTTTGTAGATTTGTGTTACTAACTTGATCGGATCGGACCATGTTACTCTTGCAAATCTACATCAACAACATAACATAACCAGCTATGATTAAACAACCTCCTAATAAGAATAAGAATAGTATGATTTATTGTTGTCTTTTAAAACTTTGGGAAATTCCAAACCAACATTCAGACTCATTTGTGAGGTTTATAGCAAACGAAACTTTCTTACCATGTAAATCGCTTTAAACAGTGGCGGACTTAGAATATTTTTTTACCGGGGTCAAAAACATAAAAATATTACTATTGATAATTTTTTTGTAAAAATACATAATATTTTACATAAAAACACTTTACGTTCCTTGGTAAAATTTGTGATGATGAAAGCTTAGACTAATTAGGCTTTAGATTATTAGCAATTTCAATTTTCTTTAAGTAAAAATAAGTCTCATTTAGTGTATGATAGACTTTGAGTAAAAAATTAGTGAACCAAAAGCATTGGATTGTAGTTAATAGGGTGTCAAAGTCAAAAATTAACCTAGTTCAATTAATAAATTCAGGAGCTCTAAACCCAAAAAATAAAATTTAATCTGTGTCATTTGAACCACTATTGGTTCAAGTAGGTCCGCCTTTGGCTTTAAACTAACATTGATCAAACAAGACTAACAAAACAAGCATGTTTTGTTATAATTGCTATCCTGAAAATTTAAAATAAGACTAAAAATATTTTTCCTTTAATTATTTCCTCATCGGCGGACTAATTATTAAAGCTAAGTTCTTATTTTTGTTGGTGCGGCGATTGGTAAAAGCAATCCTTTTACGTACACGGGACCACGAAATCAACTTTTTGTTTGCCCAGAGCATGACCCGATTGGCTATATAAACCGGTTACATATAAATTTGACGTTTCACGTTGCTTTTTCTTTGACGTTACATATATGATGTATCGAAAACATATTGAAATTTGATAAAGAAATTGAGAGCTGCTAGATAAACATATTGAATTGTTTTATATAGTATAAAAACAAATGATTTTTGTAGTATCTTGAATACATAAATTATTCGACTACTGTACTGTGTAACCATTTAAAAAAAATTACAAACAAAGTGATTTGGTGTTTTTTTAATCGACGTTTGCAAACTACAATCATGACAATAAGAAAGATAAAATGGGGAAAATGTAATTCGTAAATGATTACGTTTTTCAGTTTCATTAATACAATAAGAAAGATAAATGGGAGTATTAATTAGTTGAGACAAAAGTCAATGTTGATTACTGCATGAGAATCCTAATGATAGTATTTACTTGTTGCGAACGCAATGGGCTGATTGTGTGTAACTTGGAAACAGTAATGATGGCATTCTTGAGACAAGATAAATAATTTCCGATAAGAAAAAAGGTTTTGTATTCTAAAATACGGAGTACTACAATTGTTTCGGTACAGTGATTTTGGGAAGGTGATGATGAAAATTTCGTAAACCATTTAAATTAACAATATTTTTGGTATTGTTGGGAAGATTAAAGATATTTGTCTTTTGTTTTAAGCTCCAAATACGAATCAACAGAACCTTTTTTCTACTATCTACCAATTGTTTAGTTTAGTACTATACTCTTGGAAACCCGCTAATGTAGATTTCGAGCAATTTAGTGGAAACATTCGATCCATATCTTATTGTCCTTTAATATTGAAAAAGTGTTACTCCATCCGTTGGAGAGACTGAGAAGTTGGAGTATTTGACAGGGAACACAAACATAGACGGAAATCATTATATAAGTGAAACCAGAATCTTAATATAATTATTACAAGTTGGAATAAAAAAGGTGGGAAAAATTGAATCTGACAAAGAAAAAAGTACTGCACCTCAGAACATGAGATTCTAGTGGGAAAATATATGTTGCTTTACAAAAAGCGTACCATTCATGTTTTTATTTGCTGAAATACTTTAAATTTTATGTATTTTTTATTTGGGTTTAAAATATGTTTCTTATATTGATCTATATATATAACTGTATTCTTTTAGTTTCTTTCGAAAATCATTTAGCTAGTGATTATAAGATTCTGGTTTCATCTAAAATGTAAACGAAGCCGTCTCATCAAATGTGTATATAGTACTTGAAATTCGAAACTCATAAATGCACCTTAGAAGTTGACAAATTTGGAAAAAAAGCAAAGGTATAGAATATTAAAATAACGAATATGTATACCAATTGTCGATTTCATGTTGATGGCTCATCAGGTTCCAATGCAAAAAGAAGTAAAGGAGCGTACAAACTACGCATCTTAATTTTGTTTGATTTTTATTAACCAAACATATGAATGAAATTAAGACTGAATTGTTTTTTTTTTTAATTTTGTTTTTATCAACTAAATATATATATACTGAACTGTTTGCTTCATGACTTGCATTAGATTCGACTATGTTTAGCGTAAAGACAACTTTTTAATGCATGTAACTATGAAATTAGTAGTATTATATTAATTGGCTCACAGAATAATGATGTGTTTGTAACTCTGTATAAAAGAAAAATGAGAAGAAGAAGCTGATGAGTTTACAGTTGTGCCCCTTTGACTGCTGTCGTCATGCTTTCAGCTTCTGCCTTTTCGTACGACTCTTAAAGACTTCAGGAGAAAGCTGTAATGAAAAAGAATAAATCTTCTTTAAAATATTGTTAACTTATCCTAATAATATTATTCCATTATTCTACGAATTTAAACAAGCTTTGAATAAAGCAATTGCTAATTAGAGTGTGACGATCTATAGAAAAGATTTACTACATTCTGTAGTCTAGTCAAGTGAGGTGGGTCCACCAGTATGAGCCATCAAGTTGTCAAACTTTAATGGTTTTGTAACTTTTTTGTTTATTAAACATTTTCCGGGATTACGTAAATTATACAAATAACAGACAGTAAGTCAGTAACTAAACTAATTGTCTAATTCAATCATTATCTCAGATAATATGATTCTTTTGATATTTAAAAATTATAACTTGTGAGATGATTTAAAAGATAACAAACGATCTTCAGTAGTATAAATCTTCATTAAAAAATATAATTTACTTTGGCCAATGTAAAAACTGGTCCCAAATTCAAAATAAACTAGAATTACAGGCTTACAGCTAATAAATAAAAAATACTCTGAATAATAATGGGGAAGTCTTGTATAGGTAGGTTCTTCAAATTTCTCTTTTCTACTCAATTTCAGAGTTTATACAAATAAGGTAATTGGACGAAACAGAGACATTAAAAAATATAATATAAACCCAGCAAGTAAAAAAATTACCCAAAAGGTAAAGTACTTACTAGGTAATTCAAGTACAAGTCAAGGGGTAGTTTCGGTATTTCGTCTCTATCTTCTTCCTCTCTCTTTTTTTTTTTGTTTCCACATTCCAAAGTCCCTTTGGACTTACAAGTGATTCTTCGTTTTCTCTGCTCTCTCTCTCCTTTTTCCCGTTTCCTTTGGGAAAACAAACGGCGGCTTCACCGAAAGCCTCCGATTTCAAAAACCAGTAAGTAAACTTACTACATTGCTCTCAAATTCTCAATTTTTCTTCTGTGAGGTTTCGCTCTCTTTCTCTTCTTTTTTTCCTTTTTCGGTAATTATCGCTTGTGAGACAATTACAATTATTTTTTTATTTTATTTTTTTCCATTGATCACTCTCTCTGATTTTCTTTACTTTGCGTCGATCGTCGTCTGTGAAAATCCGAATTTGTAACGAAACCTTTTCGATGATTTTGAAAATTTAACTTCTCTCCGTTTATGCATGTTCTTATCAGAAAATCGAATTTTTGGTTTCAGTTTCGTTCTGAGATCATCTGTGAGTCGGCTAATGTTTTGCAGTAAGGGTTTTTGTGGGGCCTCTGGAAAATTTGGCAGTACGATTTTCAATTTTTTAAAAACCCACTCTGTTTTCTTGAGTTTAAGGTTCAAAAGTAAAGAAAATTTCGATAAATGTGTGTTTAAAGTCCCAACCTTTTCTCTTTGTATTTGTGTTCTTCAATCGAATCTCCTTTCTCTTTTCTGGGTTTCTCTGTGTTAGTCAATCAGTGATTCTGAAGTCTTGTAATTTGATTTCAAATAATGTGTGCTCAAAGTCTGAATCTTTTTGTGTGTTGTGCAAAACAAATTTTTGTTGGCTCAGGTTTTGATATTGGAATCTCTCCTTTGTCTCAACATTTTCTCCTTTTTGGTTCCTTTCTGTAAATCAATTTAGAATCTCCCCTTTTTCTTTTTTATTCCATCTTGTTTCTGATAGGCCAGTCACAGAGACAGATTCTGCTTCACAATTTTGTTCATTCCAAAAAGTTGTCTGTTTCTCAGAGAGAGAGAGAGAGAGTTGTTTGTTTATTCTGATTGGTGAAAATGCTAAAGATTGATTGGTTTTGTTTCATATTTTGCATATTGGATTTGATCTCTACATGTTTCTGATAAAAAACTTGTTTCTTCACTTAAAATTGGCCTTGTAGATAAATTCTACAACATGGAGGAAGAATGCGAGGAGCTTCAAGTTCCCACTGGAACTCTAAAATCAATAGGCTTTAGCATTTCCAACAACAAAGATCGAGTAACTGCTTCCCCTGAACTTTCAAGAACCTAATTAGTGACTAGATGAAGCAAAAGTTGCTTAATGTAATGTTGCTTTGTTATAGGCGAATATGTCTGCCATTACTGTTGAAGCAGCGAACCAGGTGACTGATTCTCGGTTAGGCCTACCGAATCCGGAGTCTGTTTGTCGGACATGTGGCAGCAAAGATCGGAAAGTTTGTGAAGGTATGTCAAAGTTTTTCACAACAGTCAAGAAAAATTGTCGATGGTCAGCTTTACTTATGGTGGTTTCTCAGGGCATTTTGGGGTTATAAACTTCAAGTACTCCATCATTAACCCTTACTTCGTCAAGGAGATTGCTGCATTGTTAAACAAGATCTGCCCTGGATGTAAATACATACGCAAGAAACAGTTTCAGGTTGCAGGAGACCAGCCTGCGAGATGTAGATATTGCATTGTAAGTGTTTTGATCCTTTCTTGTTCAAGAAACTCTCTTAATCTTGCATTGATCTTGTTCTTTGATGTTTCAGTCGAATACCGGTTACCCGTTGATGAAGTTTCGGGTATCGACTAAAGACGTCTTCAGGCGATCCGGGATCGTCTGTGAAGTAAGTGACGAGTTTCTGATGAAGCTGAAGAGACGGTTTGAAGGAGCATTACCACCGGACTACTGGGCTTTCTTGCCTTATGACTCGAATATAGACGAGAGCTTGCTGAAACCGAACAGGCGGATTCTAACGCCTGCACAGGTATATGTTACAAGAGTTGATATGTAAATGTGTAGTAGTATCACAAAGTCTCAAACTTTCAACTTTTTTCTTCTTGCAGGTTTATTCTCTGTTAGATGGGATTGATCCGAGACTTAAGAAGAAGGATATCCCCATGTTCGACTCGCTTCATCTGACTTCGTTTCCGGTTACACCAAACGGTTATCGTGTAACCGAAATGGTCCATCAGTTCAACGGGGCTCGTCTAGTCTTTGTAAGTACAAAAAAGCTCTGTTCTTGAATTGGTTTCTTGAAGTATGAAAATGTAAAGCTTTGATCTTGACTTTGTTTTTTGAAAGTTTTTAGACGTAAAGGTTTGATCTTGAATTGGTTTTTGAAGTTTGCAGTTGTAAAAGCTTTGATCTTTGAATTGTTCTTTTGCAGTTTTTACTTTGATCTTGAATTGTGTTTTATAAAGTTTGCAGATGTAAAGCTTTGATCTTGAATTTTGTTTTTGAAGTTTGCAGATGTAAAAGCTTTGATCTTTGAATTGGTTTTTGCAGTTTGCACTTTGATCTTAAAATGTTTTATTTTTAAGTTCCCAGACGTAAAGCTTTGATCTTGAAGTTTGCAGATGTAAAAGCTTTGATCTTTATCTTGAATTTGTCTCATAAACTCTGTTTTTTCTCTTGAAAATTTCTTAGGATGAACGGACTCGGATCTACAGGAAACTAGTTGGCTTTGAAGGGAACTTGCTTGAATTGAGCTCTCGTGTGATTGAATGCATGCAATATTCAAGAGTAAGCAGTAAACTTTTCTCAAAAAGATTCAAACTTTTCTTCTCTGTTTTGATCCTCTGTTTTGCTTCTTCTTGCAGCTCTTCTCAGAGAACATGGCTTCAGGTCAAGAATCAGCAAACCCGTTCCAGAAGAAATCAGACACTCCTAAGCTCTGTGGTCTAAGGTTCATGAAAGACGTCCTCCTCGGTAAAAGAAGCGACCACACATTCCGGACAGTAGTCGTCGGAGATCCTTCCTTGAAGCTCAACGAGATCGGTATACCGAGGAAGATCGCAGAGAGGCTTCAAGTGTCAGAGAATCTCAACGACTGGAACAGAGAACGTCTCGTGACTCTATGTTTCCACAAGCTTCTCGAGAAAGGAGAGGTTCACGTGAGAAGAGGAAGAGAAGATAGCTTAGTGGCGATTAGACTCATCGACGATCTCCAAACCGGAGACAAGATCTTCAGGACGTTAACCGATGGAGACACGGTGTTGATGAACAGACCGCCTTCGATCCATCAGCATTCTCTCATCGCAATGTCGGTGAAAGTCTTGCCAACGACTTCTGTTGTCTCCTTGAACCCTATCTGCTGCTTGCCGTTCCGTGGCGACTTTGATGGAGACTGTCTTCACGGTTACGTTCCTCAGTCGATACAAGCTAAAGTTGAGCTTGACGAGCTTGTGGCTTTGGATAAGCAGCTTGTGAACAGACAGAACGGACGCAATCTTCTTGCTTTAGGACAGGACAGCTTGACAGGAGCGTATCTGGTTAACGTTGAGAAACACTGTTATCTGAATCGAGCTCAGATGCAGCAGCTTCAAATGTATTGTTCTCCACAGCTTCTTCTTCCTCCACCTGCGATTATCAAAGCTTCTCCTTCGAGCAGAGAGCCTCAATGGACGGGAATGCAGCTGTTTGGGATGCTTCTCCCTCCAGGTTTCGACTACGCTTACCCGTTGAACGACGTCGTTGTAAGCAACGGAGAGGTTTTGTCTTCCTCTGAAGGCTCTGCTTGGTTACGTGATGGAGAAGGTAACTTCATCCAGGGACTGATGAAACATGACAAGGAGAAAGTTCTTGATATCATCTACTCTGCTCAAGAAATGCTCTCTCAGTGGCTGCTGACGCGTGGCTTAAGCGTGTCCTTAGCGGATTTGTGTTTGTCATCTGATGAGCAGTCTCGGAGGAACTTGAGAGAGGAGATCAGGTATGGATTGCAAGAAGCTGAGCAAGTCTGCAACAAGCAGCAGCTGATGGTAGAGTCTCGGAGAGACTTTCTTGCTGTGAACGGACAAGAGAAGGATGAGGAGGTTGGAGATTTGTCCCGGTTCTGCTCTGAGAGGCAGAGATCAGCGACGTTGAGCAAGCTTGCTGTTAGTGCTTTCAAGGATGCGTATAGAGATGTTCAGGCGTTGGCTTATAGGTATGGGGACAGGTCGAACTCGTTCTTGATCATGTCGAAAGCTGGTAGCAAAGGGAACATAGGGAAGCTGGTGCAGCACAGTATGTGCATCGGTCTTCAGAACTCGGCGGTTGCGTTGTCCTTCGGGTTTCCGAGGAAGCTGGACTGTGATGCTTGGAACGACCCGAACAGTCCGCTACGAGGTGGAGACAAAAGCGATGCTGCTTCTGAGTCGTTTGTTCCTTATGGAGTCGTTGAGAGCTCGTTTCTAACGGGTTTGAATCCGTTGGAGTCGTTTGTTCATTCGGTTACGAGCCGTGATAGCTCCTTTAGCGGTAATGCTGATCTTCCAGGGGCGCTTAGTCGGAAACTGATGTTCTTTATGAGAGATATATACGCTGCTTATGATGGCACAGTGAGGAACTCTTTTGGGAACAACTTAGTACAGTTTACTTATGAGACTGAGACTGTTGATGATGATCCGGTTGAAGAAGTAACCGGCGAAGCAGTCGGGTCGCTCTCTGCTTGTGCCTTATCCGAGGCCGCTTACAGCGCTCTAGACCAACCTATTAGCCTTCTTGAAACTTCTCCTCTTCTCAATCTTAAGGTTCTCTTCTTGATTCTTGTTCTTGATTTCACAGTTTTCTTGATTCTTGTTCTTGATTTCAACACTTATCTTGATTCTTGTTTCTTGATTTCACTTTTATCTTTTGCATTTGTGTGACTAGAACTTTTCTTCTTCTGCAGAATGTGTTAGAGTGTGGATCAAAGAAAGGTCAGAAAGAAGTGACAATGTCTCTGTATTTGTCTGAAGCACTCTCTAAGAAGAAGCACGGGTTCGAATACGGGGCACTGGAGATCAAGAGCCACTTGGAGAAACTGAGTTTCTCAGAGATCGTTTCAACATCCATGATAATGTTGGTAACTTGAAACTGTTCTTTATGAATCTTTTTTTTTTTTCTATGGCTTCTCTCTTAACAAATGTTTGTGTATCGTTCTCTTTGGTTTATAGTTTCTCTCCGAGCACTAACTCGAAAGTACCTTTAAGTCCGTGGGTTTGCCATTTCCATATCTCTGAGGTACAAACTCATACACATACAAACACACTCACAAACGTGAACACATTCTAATGATCTCTCTTTTGTACATTTACAGAAAATAGTGAAGCAGAAACAACTCAACGCCGAATCTGTCGTCTCTTCGTTAAACCAGCAGTATGCGACCAGAGCTAAAGAACTGAAGCTTGATGTAAATGATCTAATCATACAAACCACGTAAGAACATCCTCAAATTTTTGCTAGACAGGTTTTAGTTTTCCTTAGTCGATATACTAATATATTTTATCTGTGATTGGATTAGAAACCACTGTTCTTCAGATGAGGTCGCAATGGAGGATCACAGTTTCTGCATCACTGTTACAGTAGTCGAAGCCTCGAGGCACTCATCTTTGGAGCTGGACGCTATTCGGCTTATCTTGATCCCTTATCTTCTCGACTTCGCTGTCAAAGGTAAAAGCAAGAATGAACAGTTCTTGTTCTGTTATTACCGTTCTTGTTCTTACTATCATCTGTTCTTGCAGGCTTCAGAGAGATTAAAAGGGTGGATGTCTTATGGGCTGATCGACCAAAAGCGCCGAAAAGGAACAAGAATGATTCGTCCGGCGAGCTGTTCTTGAAGGTTATCATGTATGGAGATAAGGTCAAGAAGAACCTATGGAGTGCTCTTCTTGAAACCTGTCTTCCTATCATGGATATGATTGATTGGAACCGTAGCCATCCTGATAACATCCGTCAATGCTGCTCCGTTTACGGCATAGACGCCGGTCGCAGCATTTTCTTAGCGGTTAGTATCTCTTACAATCTTTGTTCATGTTGTTGGTCTCTCTCTCTCTCTCTCTGCTTCTGAAAGTTGAAGACTTTTCTTTTGGTTTGGTTGCAGAATTTGGAGTCTGCTGTGTCAGATACCGGTAAGGCGATACTACAAGAACATCTGCGTCTTGTAGCTGATTGTCTCTCTGTTACCGGAGAGTTTGTTGCATTAAACGCCAAAGGTTGGAGCAAACAAAGACAGGTCGAGTCCATTGCTGCACCGTTTACTCAAGCTTGCTTCTCGGTATGTTAAGACTAAATCCTCTGTTTTTCAGCTTTAGCAAGCTTAGGTAGGATTTGGTTTTGACTCTTAATCTCTCTACAGAGCCCAAGTCAATGCTTTATCAAAGCTGCTAAGGAAGGTGTCAGAGATGAGCTTCAAGGATCTATAGACGCATTAGCTTGGGGAAAAGTTCCTTCTTTTGGAACCGGAGATCAGTTTGAGATCATCATTTCAAGAAAGGTAACAACTTTTACATTTCCTCAATCCGTTATGATCAAGAACTTGGTGTTCTAATAAGTGTCTTCTTGCGTTTGATCAGGATATTGGGATTAAAACACCTGTAGATGTGTATGGTCTTCTGAGTCGTACAGAGACGCTTCCAGAGACAGAGACAGAGAAGAACTCGCTGTTCAAACCAGACAAGCTCAAGATCCAGCCGTTCCATTTGCTTGACACTGCTCTCCCCATAGCCATCAAGACACTCGCCGGGAAAGAACTCTCCAGGGCACAGCTGAGAACGATGTTTAAATGGGACGATATCGAGAAGCTTTCACGTTCCTTGAAACGCATACTCTACAAGTAAGGAAAACAGAACACAAAGTTTTGATTTTTATGCTCCAAGAACAGTAAAGATTCATCCTTTTTTTGGCTTTGTTCTGTTTTGTCAGTTACGAGATTGATGCAATGTTGAGTGAGAGAGATGAAGGGCTTTTGACGATGGCTTTACTCTTCCACCCCAACAGAGCTGAGAAGATAGGACCTGGCTTCCAAGGAATCAAGGTAAATCATTAAACAAGAACAGCTCTAACATGTTTTAGAATTCTTGAAGATCGGTTCTGACCCGGTTTCTCTTTTCAGGTGGCTAGTTCGAAGCACGGGGATGCTCGTTGCTTCGAGGTTGTGAGGAACGATGGAACAACAGAGGATTTCTCATACCACAAGTGTGTATTGGGAGCAACAGAGATCATTGCACCTACTAAAGTGAACTTCTACCGGTCCAAGTACCTTAACCGCGGTACGGTCCAGTCCGTGGCTCCCTGAGATAACCGGAAAACCCTTCTTTCGTCTATATGAACAATGTAGGAAGGTTAAGAAGTTGTGTGTGTTGTTTAAATAGATTAGAAAGTTAGATATAGGGGAAAAGCCTTTTGTGTTTGGCTTTGCTCTAAGCTTCTTTTTGCTTCTTTCACTATGTGATACCTTTGCTCTTAGGCTTAAAGGTTATTTACTTAGTGGAAGCAGCAACGAGAAGCTGGCAAAGCAGGCTTCTGTTCTGTTTCTTGTTTCTGTTTCTGTTTCTTGTTTGTAAAAACTATGGAGTTTCTGGTTTGACTATGAAAATATCCAGTTATGTTGTTCTTTCTTCACCCGGTTTATATCGGTTCTCATGTGATTGATCATGATCCCTATTTTACAATCTTGTGTGAGTCAGTGTGACAATGAAAAGTTTTTCTTGAGATATATAGCCTCTTCTTGTAAACTTATCTGGTTTTGGTCCCTATAAGCATATTTCGTTTTCTCGTGGGACATTGAATCGTTAAAGCTCTTTTTTTGGGGATTATATAGTTATCATTTCGTCAAACACGTACAACTTTTATGTTTCTACTGCATCATTAAAGCAATATCCGTTAGTTTAGAAAACAATTCTATCTTATTAGTTATTATCACAAAAAAAAAAAAAAAAAAATACTCGAGATTGAAAGAAAAAATTGCAACGCAAACGTTTTTTCTTCGTGTAAATTGTTATATAGTTATAAGAAAAAGCATTAACTTTTTAATAACTCCACATGCATTGTCGCAGACCACATACCTTTCTTTTCTATTTAACGAAAACATGTGGTTGTTTTTCTTTTTGAGCAAAACATGTGGTTGTTAATAATAAGTAATTACTCTATTATGCTTTTCTTTTTTGTTAATAATAATATATTGCTATCAAGTTTTTAATTGCAAACATATTGTCTTTTAGTCTTTACTCTTTAGCATCGATTGTTTTTCAATCAAACAACATATTTTTTTTTTTTATCTTTCATCATTCTCACTAAAAACTTCCGCCTAACAAAGAAAAAAAAGTCAACCAAAAATAGGCATAATCACAATTTGTTTGTAGATCAGAATTTTTTATATGATGTTAACGTTTGAAGTTACAAAATCATTATCTTGAAAGATATGTATGCTTTTTTTGAGGTAACTCATCCAACACCTATAACATTCATGTCTCCAAATCATTACAAAAACAGAAATTAGCATAAATCTTTTTAGCAAAATGGTATATATAGTGGATATCATATCACCACACAAAATATGGTGATATACTGATATGGATAATGGATTATAGATATCGATCGCCTTTATAGTTTCTAGAGAGTTGCATGTCATTTACTCATACTCTCTTACACAGGTCCACAACTGCACTTGCTACTTGCTTTTTTCATGGATAAATACATAATACATTAACATAATGAATTAAATTCATTTAGCCTTTTGTCTTTGTGTTTTTCAGCCGTTGATATAATGTATGAATTAAAAGTGGAGTTTGGTGAGTGGTGTGAACAACTGTTGAGACACATCACACATGTCGTGAACACCCATAATGCCATTACTCATCATAGACACACTATGCATTTTATTCTCTTCTCGAGAACCTTAGCAAATAAAACAATATGGATGACCAATGAAAAGTAAACACGTACTAATGACTGACATTGTGAATGTTGATTGATTCATTATTGAATGCGGCTACTATGCTTTTACTTATAACATCATGTTTACTTCAAAATAATTCAGGAGAAAATCTGACACCATGCAAAGTATATTACTAATAATAGGATAAAATATTCAATGTTTGTTCTATATGGTTGATCAAGTGAGTCATACTTTTGATTTTTTATGGATATTAAATTTATAAATCACAATGTAGTGTGTTAAAACACCAGAACTCACTGTTGTGTATTACATGAGGTCATAATTATCTCTTTTCTGTTACAACTTTTGTTTAAACACTCTTAACATTAAACCAATAAAAACTTTTGTTTAAACAAAACTAATTTTCGTATATATGCATAAATTGACAACACGGAAGAAATAATGATTGGAACGATGAGATCAACGAGTATCACTTTGGTCTTACTTTGTAAAAGGAAAAGAATATTGTAAAACGATTATATCACCACGTGTGATGACTGATGACCAATTTATGAAAGATGAATCATTGTCGTGTAGGCATCCAAAAAAATGAGTTAAATATGTGCTTGTAATGCAATTTGGTAAACTTTGTCCAAAACTATTTCTAAATACATATCGTCCACAATCTTTTATATTGTTTTTACAATACGTTAAAAAAACATCTATCATCCATTTTTTATATGTTTCAACTAAAAATTCTGTCGTTCTCAATATCTCCCTTTATGTATAAAAAATAGCTATACATATTGGATACGGACACATATGATATGAATCCATGACTTGTCCTCTACAATTGCATAAAATGAAAGACAAATTAAATTCGGATACATCTACTCACACAAGAGTCCATGACTTCTCATTTATTATACATCTACACATATAAAATTTTAGTGAAGTTGTATACACTTTTCTATATACTTTTGGATTATACGCTTAACTTAAATCTGTAACGGCAGAGAATATCCGAACAACGATACATTAGTAGTTTCTTTCGTAGATGGCCGTATTAAATTATTAATTTCAGTTTGAACCCAAACATTTAGAAATAATACGAAAAACCCACCTAAAAGTTTCATATAATCACGCAAAAGCCCACTTTTTTAACGAACGTGGCCAATTAACAACTTTCGGCACACAAATCTTTCTCCTTCAATGATTGGGTCTCTCTTCTCTCAGTAAATGCATATGCATAATCACATTATAAGATTCAGCGACATTTGTACTGTGATCAATTAGTCCGAAACTTTCTCTCTGTTCTTATCTTTACCGATTCCTCCGCCTTTCTGGGTTTTTGTTTTATTATCTTCCTTCTTCGCAATTCTGGGTCTTACACAAGAATCGAAGGTTTGTAATTGAGAAAGTTTTGTAAAAACCCATTCTTTGTATTTGATTACAGATCTTTCCGTTGATTTCAATTCGTAAAAGAACGACCTTTCGATCCAAATTCGTTGCTTTCAGGTACAATTCCGTTGGTGGTCAGCTAAAATCAACAATTTTTGAATCGAATTTCTCTCTTAAGGTATTGAAAGTTTTGTCCTTTTTTTCTTCATTTGGTTGAGAAAAGAGAATCTAGGGCTTTGATGTGACTCCATGTTAGAAAAAGTTTAAAGCTTTTTGGCGTTTATCATATGGAAATTGCAAGGTGTGGAATTTTTCTCAACAGGCAAAAACAATTTTGTGTGCCTACTAAAAGCAAGTTGGGAGGCTGCTTTTATAAAACCCATTTATCATTGACTCCACTAAGATCTATTTATATATATAAATTCACATAAAAAATTCATTTTTTATGTGTAGTAGGCCTTCATGCTAAGCTCGTGTGTTCTGATCCTTTTGCAGTATTATAATCTTAAATTCAGAGGTTTTGATCTGTATAAGATCTCAAGAAAGACATCAGCTTTTGTATTCAAAGAGAAACACAAAAGAAGAACGAAGATAGATACAGGTAAAAAAAGCATTGTGAGTTTACTGAGTTATGGCTTTTTTTTTGGTTAGAACTTAGAACACAATTATCTTGGTTAACTGAAATAATGCAAGAACTTTAAGTATACTTGTTTGCTGCGTTTTTTTGTGTTGTGAAAAGTGTGAATAAGCTGAGATTTTGATTGTTTCTTCAAAATTTTGATTTGATTTGATTTGATTTGGTATTTTTATTGTCCTCCTCACTGGTTTCTGCGTGAACGTATCATCTGGGCACATGGCTTGTTGAGATATCCAGCCATTTCGTAGCTGACTTTGCTTAGTTATGTATATTTAAAGAGGAAGTGTGATATGGAAATTTTCTTGTTTTGATTTGTATATTGTGCTTGAGCACTAATCAGAATTATCAGCATCACAACCCATTTGAGGTTTTATTCCTTTTAGATGCTGTTTTTGTTCCTTTTAGATGCTTTATGATCTCTTCGTGCTTGAGTCAAATTGTTCTTTGTCACTGACTCTTTCTTTCATTTCACTGAATCTGCTCTGTGGCAATCTCCCCTGAATTCTATCCATATAGCTCTCTTTATGAGTTATCTGATTATCAACCATAAAATGTGAAATTGTGTGTCTAATGATCAGACTGAGTTTTATGAAATTTCGTTAGCTCCATTGAGTAAGGCTTGTCAATGGATTGTTTGATTGACATCTCAATGTAAATTATCAAGTCTTGGAGATGCATGAATGTGTCAAAAATGTTCCTTTCTCTCCTTTCTATTTTGGGATTTAAAAACTGTGAATGAGATTGACTTTGATAATATATATTTGTATATTATATTCATCTTCGGTATGCCACAAACCCATTCTCTGTAGTTGACCAAAAAGCAAAATCTTTATATAAGTGATAGCAATGTGTTCTGATTTCCTCATTCTTCTCAGGCTCTAATCAAAAGCTCGCTCTCTGCCTTATGTAATAAAAGATGGTGGCTTTTGGGAAATATCTGCAGCGGAAACAAATTGAGGAATGGAGCGGGTATGCATTTGCTTATGCCATCTTTAAAACTTTTGGTCATCTGATTTGGGTTGCATAATGACGTTTTTGATAATTTCCATGTAGCTATTACATCAATTACAAATTGATGAAGAAGAAAGTGAAGCAATATGCTGAACAAATACAAGGCGGTTCTCAACATCCTCGCCATGTTCTCAAAGATTTCTCCAGGATGCTTGATACTCAGGTACGTTGTAGAGGATTGTGATGATGATATTGTTTGAGTACCATGCTCGTTAGATTTGTTAAGTATAGCTACATATGAGTAATCACAGTCCGGTGTTTGTCATTTGCTTCTGTTTATTAGATGGAATGGTTTGAGACATTGAAAGCGATTCATTGTGTTTTGCAGATTGAGAAAACTGTCCTCTTCATGTTGGAACAACAAGGGTTG